ACCTAAATTTGTATAGTAATGTCCTCAAAACTAACTACATTTTCAATATGATTGTCATTTGAAATATAAAATATAATAACATTTATTTCATTTTTCGGCTCACATTTTCCTTGTACTGTATTTTCCTCTACATTTTTTAGAAGAATATTAAAAGAACACATATTTCACTTGTTTCATGTCGTTAATAATATCTGAATCCACTTTGTTGTTAACGACGTGCTACAAAGTATATTCAGATGTTGTTAACGACGTGCTCACGTCGCAATATATCATACAATGTGTTCCAATTTTTTAGATTGCCGACGTGCTCGAAGAGCACTTCGTTAACAACAAAGTATATTCAGATGTTGTTAACGACGTGCTCGAATAGCACGTCGCAATATATCATACAATGTATTCCAATTTTTTAGATTGCGACGTGCTCTTCGAGCACGTCGTTAGCAACAAAGTATATTCAGATGTTGTTAACGACGTGCTCGAAGAGCACGTCGCAATATATCATACAATGTGTTCCAATTTTTTAAATTGCCGACGTGCTCGAAGATCACGTCGTTAATAGCAAAGTATATTCAGATGTTGTTAACGACGTGCTCGAAGAGCACGTTGCAATATATCATACAATGTATTCCAATTTTTTAGATTGCGACGTGCTCTTCGAGCACGTCGTTAACAACAAAGTATATTCAGATGTTGTTAACGACGTGCTCGAAGAGCACGTAAGAGCACGTCGCAATATATCATACAATGTGTTCCAATTTTTTAAATTGCCGACGTGCTCGAAGATCACGTCGTTAATAGCAAAGTATATTCAGATGTTGTTAACGACGTGCTCGAAGAGCACGTCGTTAACAGCAAAGTATATTCAGATGTTGTTAACGACTGATACAATGTGTTCCAATTTTTTAGATTGCGACGTGCTTGCTCTTCGAGCACGTCGTTAACAACAAAGTATATTCAGATGTTGTTAACGACGTGCTCGAAGAGCACGTCGCAATATATCATACAATGTGTTCCAATTTTTTAGATTGCGACGTGCTTCCTCTTCAAGCACGTAGTTAACAACAAAGTATATTCAGATGTTGTTAACGACGTGCTCGAAGAGCACGTCGCAATATATCATACAATGTGTTTTAAAAAATTTTATAAACATGAAATTGTATTAGTTGGAAGTTATTTGTCCTTCTCCACCGCGACCTTTTCAGATTTATTGTGGGACTCCGTTTGTTTTAGAGTATGTCGTCTAGTCTGGTCTTTTTTATTAGACTTAGTAGCTTTCACAGTGGCTCCCACATGTAGACGCATGTATTTAGCTTTTCTTCGCCCAATGTTAGAAACCTCATTCTAGCCAGGCCTTCACAGTGGCACAGGACGTGGAATGATGTTTCCTCTTCTTCTTTACAGAACCTGCACAAAGTTGCTTCTTCTGCTGAATTTAAGACACTCATGTGTCTTTTGAGGCGACAGAGTCCAGTAGGAAGGCCTACTGTTATTCTAACGATTTGACCCTTTTGATCTAGTAGGTCTTTCGTGAACTTGGCCGATGGTTCCTTGAACTGTTTGGCCTGTCTCAGTCTTGGACCATTCCTGAGAATCTTTTTGTATCGATTGTTTAATGGATGCCTTGCACAATGCTTTAGCAACTCCACAGAAGTATATCTGAATATATATTGTTGTTAACAACGTGCTCGAAGAGCACGTCGCAATTTATTATACGTTGTGTTCCAAAAAGTATTATATACATAAAAAAAGTTTGATTTAAAAAAATCATTATTTTTGATAAAAAGTTCTCCATTAATTGAAACAACAAAATTTTGGAGAACTTTATATCAAAAATACTGTTTTTTTTTAAATCATTATTATGTAGGTATATAAAACTTATTGGAACACCCTGTGTATATAAGTTTTTTCTAAAATCGAATACTAAATTAAATAAAATTTAAAATAAATGCCTTTATACAAAGGAAATCAGAAATTACACTCAAATAAAGTGACAAAATACTCATTTAAAACGCATATGAAAAGATTTATAAAAAAATGTTTGGGACACACTATATAATAAATTGCGACGTGTTCTAATTGCGACGAACTCTTCAAGCACGTTGTTAAGAACAAAGTATATTAAGATGTTATTAACGATATGTTCGAAAAGCACATCGCAATCTATCATACAATAAGTTTAAAATTTTTAGATTGCGACGTGCTCTTTGAGCACGTCGTTAACAATAAAGTATATTCAGATGTTGTTAACAACGTGCTCGAAGAGCACGTCGCAATCTAAAAATTTGGAATACATTTTATGACAGATTGTCGTTAAGAACATCTGAATATACTTTGTTGTTAACGATGTGCTTGTAGAGCACGTCGCAATGTAAAAAATTTGAACACATTGTATGATATATTGCGACGTGCTCTTCGAGCACGTCGTTAACAACATCTGAATATGCTTTCTTAACGACGTACACGAAGAGCACGTCGCAATCTTGTAAACATTTGGAACACATTGTATAATAGATTGCGACGTGCTCCTCGAGCACGTCGTTAACAACATCTGAATATACTTTGTTAACGTCGTGCTAGAAAAGCACGTCGCAATCTTCTTAAAACTTGGAACATATTGTATGATAGATTGCGACTTTTATCATGTTTATATATAAATTTGGGATACACTGTATAATAAATAGTGAAGTGATCTTCGAACACATTTACCTTGAATTTTTTTTTATAAATTTGCCAAAATACAAAAATTTTACGCTTTTTTTGATTTCCCCCTCCCTTGTTATTAAAATCCTGACATGTGATATATTAATACTCGATCTGGATAATTTTTCTTAAGATCTCTCTGCTCTACCTCTTTTCTTATACAAAGTTTTTCCCAGAAAAGCGTTCGACATAAAAAATTTCCCCCATTTTTCTTGAGAAATGTGTTTGAGGTATTGGAAAAATTTCAATGCCTAACTGTGAGAAATTTTGTAAAATATACAAGAAATTTCAGTTTTTTTTGGATAATTCATCGAAAAAGTCGGAAAAAATTTTCCACACAAATAAATCCGCTGTGGAAATAAAAATTTGGTCTAGCAGGAAAATTGATAGAATAATATTTGAATCCACTTTGTTGTTAAATTTAGAAAACATTGTATGATAGATTGCGACGTGCTCTTCGAGCACGTCGTTAACAACATATGAATATAATTTGTTGTTAACGACGTGCTCGAAGAGCACGTCGCAATCTAAAAATTTGGAACACATTATATAACATATGAAATACTTTGTTGCTAACGACGTGCTCGAAAATTACGTCGCAATCTAAAAATATAGAACACATTTTATGATAGATTGCGACGTGCTCTTCGAGCACGTCGTTAACAACATATGAAATACTTTGTTGCTAACGACGTGCTCGAAAATTACGTCGCAATCTAAAAATATAGAACACATGTTGTGATAGATTGCGACGTGCTCTTCGAGCACGTTGTTAACAACATATGAAATACTTTGTTGCTAACGACGTGCTCGAAAATTACGTCGCAATCTAAAAATATAGAACACATTTTATGATAGATTGCGACGTGCTCTTCGAGCACGTCGTTAACAACATATGAAATACTTTGTTGCTAACGACGTGCTCGAAAATTACGTCGCAATCTAAAAATATAGAACACATTTTATGATAGATTGCGACGTGCTCTTCGAGCACGTCGTTAACAACATATGAAATACTTTGTTGCTAACGACGTGCTCGAAAATTACGTCGCAATCTAAAAATATAGAACACATGTTGTGATAGATTGCGACGTGCTCTTCGAGCACGTTGTTAACAACATATGAAATACTTTGTTGCTAACGACGTGCTCGAAGATCACGTCGCAATCTAAAAATATAGAACACATTTTATGATAGATTGCGACGTGCTCTTCGAGCACGTCGTTAACAACATATGAATATACTTTGTTGTTAACGACGTGCTCGAAGAGCACGTCGCAATCTAAATATTTGCAACATATTATATAACAGATTGCGACGTGCTCTTCGAGCACGTCGTTAATAACGTCTGAATTTAAATTTTGATGAAAACAAGATGGGATCCAACCCCATTATGCTCTTGGTACGAGACAGTGGCTGGATAGATTTTGTCCACGACACTAATTGGTAGAAAGGATCCAATTGAGTGGCCACCAAGGTCTCCCGACCTTACTCTAGTTGACCTTTTTCTATGCGCCAAAATATTCAGAATATTCCATTAGAAATTTTCCAAAACGTTAGACGAGAATTTAAAAATCGTTATTTTGAACTTTTATTGTAATTTTTTGTATTATTAATTTGTTTATGTTTTTGAGTTCATTCTACTTTTTTTTTGACCATGGAAAGGATGTTTAATAAGCTTTCCAAAGAGGTATCACAAGTGGGGTATTATAATTTAAAATTTTTACGTCAGACTAGGCTTAAGGGGGTGGTGAAAAATATATCATTTGGTTTTTTATTTTTTTGATATATATAAAAAAATATAACCATTGTAAGTTTTCAAATGTCGATACTTTATTGACTGGTCTATATTGCTGGTTCTAGGAATAGTGGAATCATCGTCATCAGTCTCGATTGTAGAAGAATTTTTCTTTTTGTTTATAAAAATAGTTTCTTAAATTAGCGAGAATTGCTAAATAATATTTCTAAATATAAAAATTCATCAATTCAAAAAACAAGTTTTAGTTTTCTTATGCTAAATTTTGCAATATTAATTATAATACTAATCGTGTCTGTAAAAAGTTTCTAATGTTCTTAAAATTCATTAATAATAAACCGGAACCGGATTCAGAATATGAATATAGTCACGTACGAATAATACTTAGTATTTTTAAACTTTCTACCGGTTGGTGTTTATTACTAATATGTGACAATTTCACAAGATGTAACAAATAAACATTGTTTACAAAGTCTATACAGGAATATGAAACCCAAAAAAATGCTCACCAAACAATATTTAATACTATATGTATACATTTCAGCTTTTCGACACAATTCGAAAAGAACGACCTCTAGATCTTCACAAATTACTGCCAATCGACGGTGACATCACTCAGCCGGAGTTGAGCATCAGTCCCAACGACAGAGCTGTTTTAGAACGAAGCGTCAACATAGTTTTCCACAGCGCCGCTACCGTCAAATTCGACGAAAAACTCAAACTGTCCGTCACCATAAACGTGTTGGGCACACAACGGTTGGTGGAGCTTTGCAAGAGGATGGATCACCTCGAAGCACTGGTAAGGAAAAACATATTTGTTCGTTTAATTTATCTTGGAAGCCCAAGGAATTTAAATGCAATGATTAGTAGGTTTACAGGTTGGATAAAAGCAAAAAAATAAAGATATAAGTATGTTGTTATAAGTTTATTACGATTAGAATCTAGTCGGACGGAAGACTGAGCGATGGGCTGGTCAATTCTAGTCGGACGGAAGACTGAGCGATGATTAATTCTAGTCGGACGGAAGACTGAGCGATGAGCCGACAGACGGAGCCTCAGACTAAGATATAAGTTACAGGGACGGTTGAAGGGATTAATATTGTTCTAAAACCAGTATTGTTGAATGTATTTCAACAAATGATTTATAAAATATCATTTTTGAATTCTATACATACAAATTTATATACAATTATGATTATTATGGATGAATATTATTAACTAAAGGTTAATTTGAGTTCTAACCATTTTTTTAAACTCATAAATCCAATGGCATATCTAATTAATTAGCTAATTAACAGCCTCTATAGGTTATTAAATGTTCTATTTATGGCGCGTTTGGTTTATCCTTTTGTATTCAAATTATAGTTGTAAATGCATTTTTTTAACTGCTAAATAATTCTTACATGATTACAGTCATATTGTATCATAAAAATATTAAATGTTTATATTAATCGGTATCTTTTATATAGGGTGTTTCAGACTAATTCATCCAAGTTACGTTTCATTAATATTTATCTTAATAGCTAGAAAAATATTTAGATTAATAACTTGATAACTTTTAAAATAATATTTTGTCTTTCTTGTCGTTTTTTTCTTCGTTTTTTTTTCTTTCGTATCCTTTTTTTCTGTTTATTTTTCTTTTTTCCTTTCTTGTTTTCCTTCTTTTTTTCCTTTCTTGTTTTCTTCTTTTCTTTTCCTGTTTCTTTTTCCTTTCTTGTTTTCTTCTTCTTTTTTTCCTGTTTCTTTTTCCCTTTTTTTCTTCTTTTTTTTTTGTTCAATTAGATTAATTCCCTTTTTTGTTGTACTTAGATACATGTATCAACGGCATATTGCAACTGTGATAGGTACGAGGTGAAGGAAACAATCTATCCACCTCCGATTGGTCCCGATCAAGTTGTGTCGCTTGTCGAGGCGCTAGATGAAGATTTAGTGGACTCTTTGACGCCGAAATTGATCGGTAACAGGCCGAATACGTATACGTTCACGAAGGCTTTGGCGGAATGTTGGTTGAAAGATAATAAAGGAACTTTGCCGGTGGTTATTATAAGACCCAGTATAGTTTTAAGCAGTATTAACGAACCTGTTAAAGGATGGGTTGATAATTGGAATGGTCCTACAGGTGAGTGTTTAATATTTTTACTATTAGTTGACTGAGGTTATCAAATCAAATATATTACAGTACTATGGGATTATTAACACAAAAGAACAAACTGAAAAAACAAAAAATTAAAAAAATACAAAAAATACTAAAAAAAATAAAAAATACAAAAAAATACAAAAAATACAAAAAAATATAAAAATACATAAAATACATAAAATACAAAAAATACAAAAAATACAAAAAATACAAAAAATACAAAAAATACAAAAAATACAAAAAATACAAAAAATACAAAAAATACAAAAAATACAAAAAATACAAAAAAATACAAAAAATACAAAAAATACAAAAAATACAAAAAATACAAAAAATACAAAAAATACAAAAAATACAAAAAATACAAAAAATACAAAAAATACAAAAAATACAAAAAATACAAAAAATACAAAAAATACAAAAATACAAAAAATACAAAAAATACAAAAAATACAGAAAATACAAAACAAAAACAGACAGACAACAAAACCAAAACAGAAAATATAAAGATATTAAGATAAAGAGAAAATAAACGAAAAAAATAAAAAAAATAAAAAAAATAAAAAAAAAACAAAAATAACAAAAACAAGCAAAAAACGAAAACAAAGAAATAAGCAAAAAACCGAAAACAAAATGAAAGAAAAAATACAAACAAAAACAATATATTAAAGATTGAAAAAAAGATGGTTCACTAACTGTACTAGAGGGAGATAGGTCGAAAATGTGTAAATGCTGAACTGAAGTTTCTAGTTTTTCTTTTTTCAATGGAATGTCTGTGTGTGTCTGTCTGTGTCTGTATGTGTCTGTCAGTGTCTGTCTGTGTCTGTCTGTGTCTGTGTCTGTCTGTGTCTGTCTGTGTCTGTCTGTGTCTGTCTGTGTCTGTCTGTGTCTGTCTGTGTCTGTCTGTCTGTGTCTGTCTGTCTGTGTCTGTCTGTGTCTGTCTGTGTCTGTCTGTGTCTGTCTGTGTCTGTCTGTGTCTGTCTGTGTCTGTCTGTGTCTGTCTGTGTCTGTCTGTGTCTGTCTGTGTCTGTCTGTGTCTGTCTGTGTCTGTCTGTGTCTGTCTGTGTCTGTCTGTGTCTGTCTGTGTCTGTCTGTGTCTGTCTGTGTCTGTCTGTGTCTGTCTGTGTCTGTCTGTGTCTGTCTGTGTCTGTCTGTGTCTGTCTGTGTCTGTCTGTGTCTGTCTGTGTCTGTCTGTGTCTGTCTGTGTCTGTCTGTGTCTGTCTGTGTCTGTCTGTGTCTGTCTGTGTCTGTCTGTGTCTGTCTGTGTCTGTCTGTGTCTGTCTGTGTCTGTCTGTGTCTGTCTGTGTCTGTCTGTGTCTGTCTGTGTCTGTCTGTGTCTGTCTGTGTCTGTCTGTGTCTGTCTGTGTCTGTCTGTGTCTGTCTGTGTCTGTCTGTGTCTGTCTGTGTCTGTCTGTGTCTGTCTGTGTCTGTCTGTGTCTGTCTGTGTCTGTCTGTGTCTGTATGTGTCTGTCTTGTTTATGTTTAATGTTGTCTTGTATTTTTAGGTATTATAGCGGCGGCTGGAAAGGGACTTTTTAGGACCATGTTGTGTGATCCAGACAAAATAGCCGACATAGTACCTGTAGATATGGTGATCAATTTGATGATTGTGTCGGCTTGGAGGATAGGAAGTAGTCCAACTAAAGAAATTTCAATATACAATTGTTGCTCAGGTGAGTTTTGATATTTTTTATGATTCTTGTTCTATACGTAATTTTCCTAAAATGGTCCGTATTCGAGAAATTTTACAAAACGTAAAAAAATTTAAAGAAAATTGTTCATGGAAAAAAATTGCTAAAAGTAAATTGTCTAAAAAAGTGTCCAAAAAAATGTCAAAAAAAAATTTGACAAAAAAATTGTCAAAATAAAAATTTGTCAAAAAAAAATCAAAAAAAAATGTCCAAAAAAATTAATCCAAAAAAATTGTCAAAAAAATTTGTCAAAAAAAATTAGATTTTGGGCAGAGTTGGATCATCTTGGGGGATCCTTTATAGGGGGTCGTTTTTATATTTTATGGAAGAAAAAAATTGTCCAAAAAAAAATTATCAAAAAAATTGTTCAAAAAAAAATTGTAGAAAATTTTGTCCAAAAAAAAATTGTCAAAAAAATTATTCAAAAAAATGTCAAAATTTTTTTAAAAATGTCAAAAAATTGTCCAAACAAAATTTGTAAAAAAATTAGTTAAATAAAATTGTCAAAAAAGATTGTTAAAAGTTTTGTCAAAAAAAAAATTGTAGAAAATTTTGTCCAAAAAAAAATTGTCAAAAAAATTATTTCAAAAAATGTCAAAAAATTTTTAAAAATGTCAAAAAATTGTCCAAAAAAAAATTGTAAAAAATTTAGTCAAATAAAATTGTCAAAAAAGATTGTAAAAAATTTTGTCAAAAAAAAAAATTGTAGAAAATTTTGTCCAAAAAAAAATTGTCAAAAAAATTATTCAAAAAATGTCAAAATATTTTTAAAAATGTCAAAAAATTGTCCAAACAAAATTTGTAAAAAATTTAGTTAAATAAAATTGTCAAAAAAGAGTGTTAAAAGTTTTGTCAAAAAAAAAATTTTAGAAAATTTTGTCCAAAAAAAAATTGTCAAAAAAATTATTTCAAAAAATGTCAAAAATTTTTTAAAAATGTCAAAAAATTGTCCAAAAAAAAATTGTAAAAAATTTAGTCAAATAAAATTGTCCAAAAAAAAATTGTAAAAAATTTAGTCAAATAAAATTGTCAAAAAAGATTGTAAAAAATTTTGTCAAAAAAAAAATTGTAGAAAATTTTGTCCAAAAAAAAATTGTCAAAAAAATTATTCAAAAAATGTCAAAATATTTTTAAAAATGTCAAAAAATTGTCCAAACAAAATTTGTAAAAAATTTAGTTAAATAAAATTGTCAAAAAAGAGTGTTAAAAGTTTTGTCAAAAAAAAAATTTTAGAAAATTTTGTCCAAAAAAAAATTGTCAAAAAAATTATTTCAAAAAATGTCAAAAATTTTTTAAAAATGTCAAAAAATTGTCCAAAAAAAAATTGTAAAAAATTTAGTCAAATAAAATTGTCCAAAAAAAAATTGTAAAAAATTTAGTCAAATAAAATTGTCAAAAAAGATTGTAAAAAATTTTGTCAAAAAAAAAATTGTAGAAAATTTTGTCCAAAAAAAAATTGTCAAAAAAATTATTCAAAAAATGTCAAAATATTTTTAAAAATGTCAAAAAATTGTCCAAACAAAATTTGTAAAAAATTTAGTTAAATAAAATTGTCAAAAAAGAGTGTTAAAAGTTTTGTCAAAAAAAAAATTTTAGAAAATTTTGTCCAAAAAAAAATTGTCAAAAAAATTATTCAAAAAATGTCAAAATATTTTTAAAAATGTCAAAAAATTGTCCAAACAAAATTTGTAAAAAATTTAGTTAAATAAAATTGTCAAAAAAGAGTGTTAAAAGTTTTGTCAAAAAAAAAATTTTAGAAAATTTTGTCCAAAAAAAAATTGTCAAAAAAATTATTTCAAAAAATGTCAAAAATTTTTTAAAAATGTCAAAAAATTGTCCAAAAAAAAATTGTAAAAAATTTAGTCAAATAAAATTGTCCAAAAAAAAATTGTAAAAAATTTAGTCAAATAAAATTGTCAAAAAAGATTGTAAAAAATTTTGTCAAAAAAAAAATTGTAGAAAATTTTGTCCAAAAAAAAATTGTCAAAAAAATTATTCAAAAAATGTCAAAATATTTTTAAAAATGTCAAAAAATTGTCCAAACAAAATTTGTAAAAAATTTAGTTAAATAAAATTGTCAAAAAAGAGTGTTAAAAGTTTTGTCAAAAAAAAAATTTTAGAAAATTTTGTCCAAAAAAAAATTGTCAAAAAAATTATTTCAAAAAATGTCAAAAATTTTTTAAAAATGTCAAAAAATTGTCCAAAAAAAAATTGTAAAAAATTTAGTCAAATAAAATTGTCCAAAAAAAAATTGTAAAAAATTTAGTCAAATAAAATTGTCAAAAAAGATTGTAAAAAATTTTGTCAAAAAAAAAATTGTAGAAAATTTTGTCCAAAAAAAAATTGTCAAAAAAATTATTCAAAAAATGTCAAAATATTTTTAAAAATGTCAAAAAATTGTCCAAACAAAATTTGTAAAAAATTTAGTTAAATAAAATTGTCAAAAAAGAGTGTTAAAAGTTTTGTCAAAAAAAAAATTTTAGAAAATTTTGTCCAAAAAAAAATTGTCAAAAAAATTATTTCAAAAAATGTCAAAAAATTTTTAAAAATGTCAAAAAATTGTCCAAAAAAAAATTGTAAAAAATTTAGTCAAATAAAATTGTCCAAAAAAAAATTGTAAAAAATTTAGTCAAATAAAATTGTCAAAAAAGATTGTAAAAAATGTTGTCAAAAAAAAATTGTAGAAAATTTTGTCCAAAAAAAAAATTGTCAAAAAAATTATTCAAAAAAATGTCAAATTTTTTTTTAAAAATGTCAAATATTTCTAAAATTGTTCAAATAAAAGTTGTTTTTCTATAATTTTTGTCTCATACATAAATTCTCTAAAATGATTATTTAAGAAAAAGTGTAAATTTCGAATTTTGATGAAAAATCAAAATGAATTTAGAAAAACACATTAAATTTTAAATTAAAGCTTTATTCCAGTCTGAGGTGAACTAATGAGATTTTGGACAGAGTCGAAACATCTGGGGATACTTTATGGGGGATCATTTAAATATTTTATGAAAAATATCTGTTATTTACGATAGGAGAAGAAAATTCTTCAAATAAAAGTTACTTCTAATATTATTATCTATAATTTTTGTTTCATACAAAATTTTCCTAAAATGGTCCGTATTCGAGAAATTTTACAAAATGTAAAAAATTCAAAATTTTACGAATATTTTATGGAATATATCTGTTATTTACGCTTGGAGAAGAAAATTGTTCAAATAAAAGTTATTTACAATATTATTCTCTATAATTTTTGTCCTATACAAAATTTTCCCATGTTACTCATTATATAGTTTGTCTCAAAAAGTAATTTTCTAGGTATGCGAAAACCCATCAAATGGAAGGACTTCGTCTACTATTGTTTTAAATACAGCCGGAAGCACCCGGTTATGGACGTTTCTTTCTATCCATCAGGTTCTGTGACTTCGCGTCGGTACGTGCACGCCATCAGAACGTTCTTGTGGCATTGGTTACCGGCTTACATCATCGATACGGTCGTGCAGATATCTGGAGGAAAACCAGTGTGAGTATGACTGTAAATTAGTTAATAACTTTATTGATATAACTAGCTTTATTAATTTTTATTAAAGTTAGTTAATTTTTATTGATTTTTATTGATTTTTAATAATTTTAGTTCATTTTTATTAATTTAAGTTAATTTTTATTAATTTTAGTTAATTTCAGTTAATTTTTATTAATTTTTATTATTTTTATTAATTTTAGTTAATTTTTATTCATTTTAGTTCATTTTTATTAATTTTTATTGATTTTTAATAATTTTTATTGATTTTTATTAATTTTTAATAATTTTTATTGATTTTTAATAATTTTAGTTAATTTTAGTTAATTTTTATTAATTTTTATTAATTTTTATTAATTTTTATTAATTTTTATTAATTTTTATTAATTTTTATTAATTTTTATTAATTTTTATTAATTTTTATTAATTTTTATTAATTTTAGTTAATTTTTATTAATTTTTATTAATTTTTATTAATTTTAGTTAATTTTTATTATTTTTATTAATTTTTATTATTTTTATTAATTTTTATTATTTTTATTAATTTTAGTTAATTTTTATTCATTTTAGTTAATTTTTATTCATTTTAGTTAATTTTTATTGATTTTTAATAATTTTTATTGATTTTTATTGATTTTTAATAATTTTTATTGATTTTTATTAATTTTAATAATTTTTATTGATTTTTAATAATTTTAGTTAATTTTTATTAATTTTTATTAATTTTTATTATTTTTATTAATTTTAGTTAATTTTTATTCATTTTAGTTCAGTTTTATTAATTTATTATTAATTTTTATTGATTTTTAATAATTTTGGCTAATTTTTATTAATTTCAGTTAATTTTTATTCATTTTAGTTAATTTTTATTGATTTTTAATAATTTTGGCTAATTTTAGTTAATTTTTATTAATTTCAGTTAATTTTTATTAATTTTAGTTAATTTTTATTAATTTTAGTTGATTTTAGTTAATTTTATTTATTTTAGTTAGTTTTTATTAACTTTAGTTAATTTTTATTAATTATAGTTAATTTTTATTAATTTCAGTTAATTTTTATTAATTTCAGTTAATTTTTATTAATTATAGTTAAGTTTTATTAATTTTAGTTAATTTTTATTAATTATAGTTAATTTTTATTAATTTCATTTAATTTTTATTAATTTCAGTTAATTTTTATTAATTATAGTTAAGTTTTATTAATTTTAGTTAATTTTATTTATTTTAGTTAGTTTTTATTAATTTTAGTTAATTTTTATTTATTTTAGTTAGTTTTTATTAATTTTATTTAATTTGTATTAATTTTATTTAATTTGTATTAATTTTAGTTAATTTTCATTAGTTTTTATTAACTTTAGTTAATTTTTATTAATTAATATTAATTTTTAATAATTTTTTTTATTAACTTTAGTTAATTTTTATTAATTAATATTAATTTTTAATAATTTTTTTTATTAACTTTAATTAATTTTTATTTTTATTAACTTTTATTAATTTTAATTGTTCTTCATTAATTTTTATTTTTATTTTATTTTTTTTATTTATATGTGTTTTTACGATACTCTCCCCATTTACCCTCCCTTAAAATGTGAAAATCTGAAAACTTTTTGAAATACGTCAATTATTTACTTATGATAAAATTCCAGCTTTCAAGATTTTACTTTTAAAAAAATCGATATCCCTGTACAAACTTTCATCCCTTCCCCTATTCCCCTATTTAATCTTTTCCCCTATTTATCCTTTCCCTACTCCCCTATTTATCCTTTCCCTATTCCCCTCTTCCCCTATTTATCCTTTCCCTACTCCCCTATTTATCCTTTCCCTATTCCCCTATTTATCCTTTCCCTATTCCCCTTTCACATATCTTCCTTTTCCCTATCCCCTATTTCACATTCTCATATCCCATTCTCCTCCCCCTATTCCCATTTCACCTATTTCTATTTCCCCATCCCCTATTCCACATTATCATATCCCATTATCCTTCCCCTATTTCTCCTTCCCTTATTTCCCCTTCTCCTATTCTTCCTTCCCCTATTTCTCCTTCCCTCATTCCCTAATCCTCCCCTAGCCCTATTCCCTCGTTACTTTTTTTATCCCTTTTCCCATTCTCCCATTTTTTATTCCATTTTTCCCATTCCCCTGTTCCCTCATTTCCCATTCCCCCATTTTCCATTCCCCCATTTCACTTTTCCCCCCCTTAAAATATGAAAATCCAAAAAACATTATTTATTTGTGATGAGTAGCTATAATTCCAATTTCCAAGGTTTTTCCTTAAAAAAAAATCCTTAGCACGTCGGAATCTATTATACAAAAATTGTTAAAATGGTTTATTACTTCAGCTTTTTCTTCATCTTTTGCATTTATTGGTTTTTACCGTCCGCTTAAATTTTCATCAACATCCTGTTTGGAAAGCACATTTCTTTTATATTAAAATATCCTCTTGTAACGACATGAACTTTTTAAAACAAACTAGTTTTTTCCCATCAAAAGTAACAAAATACGACACAGTTATTTCTCTTTTTTGTACTACCGTTTGTAGTTCTTCCTTTTCTTTCTACCTTTTTCTGTCACTTAGAACTTGATCTTTGTTAATGACATTTTTTAAAAAATAATCCTTTGGTTCTTTAGTGCTAGTTTATCTGTACACTTCTTTCTGCAACAGTTAGTAACAAATAAAAACGTTTTAGCTAGTATCATAACTCTTTTTCTATTTAAATATTATTCTTCTCCTCTTGATTTCTTTTTTTTTTTTTCATTAATTTTCTATTAATTGACTTTCGTTTTCGAACTTGATTGTTTGCTTGTTCGTAATTGTTATTTTCATCAAGTTCTTGATTTGGGATGTCTTTCATGTTTCGATTTCCTCAGTCTTTTTTTTGACGTTATTTGTCCTTGTCCACTGCCTCCTTTTCAGATTTATTCAGTTTTAAAATACATATTTTAGACAAAGTTGACCTTTATTCGATATACAGGGTGTCCCAATGAAAAGTAAAGTAGCCCACTTCCAGAGCCTATAACTTTTAAACACCTAATCGTAAAAACGTGCGATTTTCGTTAATATGTGGTATTTTTCTATAAGTTTTGCTACAGTAATACAAAAATTATGTATTACCTATACAGGGTGTTTTTTTTTTAATTTCCTCTTTTATAAGCTCTGAAAACAGGCTATTTATCATTGGAACACCCTGTATATGTACAGGATTATTTTACAAATATTTTATTTTTGTTTTTGTTCAGGTTGTTAGGTGTTTTTTTTAAAAATCTCCTTTTATAATCTCTACAAACGGGCTATTTTTCATTGGAACACCCTGTATATGTACAGGATTATTTTTTAAATGTTATTTTTTTTGTTTAGGTTGTTAAGGATACAGGATAAATTACACAAAGCCGCGGATTGTTTGGCGTATTTTACGACGAAAGAATGGCGATTCGACGACGAAAACGTGAGACAACTGGCGATGGTTTTGAGCGAGTCGGATAGAGAAGAATTTTGTTTCGATGTCGCCAAAATAGATTGGAATAATTATTTAGAAAATTACGTATTGGGAATTAGAAGGTAAATAAATTTAATTATGATTAATATAATTTTGTAGTTTTTGGCAATGTTTAGGTTAAAAATACAATTTTTTTGTATAAAAATTTGGTATATTACGTTAAATAGTGTATCAAAGATTCAACTTAGCATAGTATTTTGAAATTTATATAAATTCCTGACTATTTAAAATTAGCATTTCAATTTTTCAGAAAGTTTTGTCATCTATATAAAACATTTTGGAACACACTGTATAATAGATTGCGACGTGCTCGAAGAGCACGTCGTTAACAACAATATTTATGTCTACTCTTTTGTTGTTAACGACGTGCTCGAAGAGCACGTCGCAATCTATTATACAGGGCGTTCCAAAAAGTGTTATACTCGAAAGAAAAAAATTGTTTTTTTCAAAAAATTTATTATTTTTGATAAAAATTTCTGCAATATTTGAAAATTCGAAACTTTTCTTATGTTTATAATTTTTTTTTTTGGACACATTGTGTAATGATTGCAACGAAGAGCACGTTGTTAACAATTAAATGTATTTAGATATTGTTGTTAACGACGTGCTCTTCGTTGCAATCATTACACAATGTGTCCAAAAAAAAAATTATATACATGAGAAAAGTTTCGAATTTTCAAATATTGTAGAAATTTTTATCAAAAATAATAAATTTTTTGAAAAAAACAATTTTTTTCTTTCGAGTATAACACTTTTTGGAACGCCCTGTATAATAGATTGCGACGTGCTCTTCGAGCACGTCGTTAACAACAATATTTATGTCTACTCTTTTGTTGTTAAAAAAAAAAAAAAAAAAAAAAAAAAAAAAAATTGAAAAATCGAATAAAAATTGAAAAATCGAATAAAAATTGAAAAATCCAAAAAAAAATCCAAAAATCGATAAAAAAAATCGAAAAAAATCGAAAAATCGAAAAAAATCGAAAATTCGAAAAATCGAAAAAAAAGAAAAAAAAAACGAAAAAAAATCGAAAAATCGCAAAAAAAAGAAAAAAAAAATGAAAAATCGAAAAAAAAAAAATCGAAAAAATAAAAAAAAATGGAAAAAAAAAATCGAAAAAAATGAAAAAAAATCGAAAAATCGATAAAAACGAAAAAAAATCGAAAAAATCGAAAAAATCGAAAAAATCGAAAAAATCGAAAAAATCGAAAAAATCGAAAAAATCGAAAAAATCGAAAAAATCGAAAAAAAAAAAAATTGAAAAATCGAAAAATCGATAAAAATTCTCCTTTGATTAGGGCTTTGAGATCCTTTATTAGCTCACTATGATTAGCAGTTTTACCATCAACTACTATTGGGGGCATTGTTGTTTTGTTCGGATTTAGTCTTGTTTCAGTTTTTAATGGTTTGTTTTTGTTAATGTTCGAATTTATGTTTTTAGTGTTCACATTACTGGCTTCATTAATGTTATTTAAGTCCAGGGGTTTGTATTTGAGCCCCTTTTTACGTTTTTTAACGATTTTCCCCACTTCATCGTCTATGTCCGAGTCAGAGTCATCTGTTAGCGGTTGAAATTTATTTTTAGTGGGAGTGAGAGTCTTCTTGGATTTTTCTCTTATTAGATTTTGGAAGTTTCTACTGAATTTTTTGGGTGTTGTAAATGGCTCTTCATCATTTTTGTTGTGATTGGTTTTGTCTTCCTTATCGGTCTCCTGATCATAGGCAGATCTTTCTTAGTCACTTCTGATTTTGAATAGGCTGTTCGGAGAATGTGGTAGTTTATTAAACCTATTTTCTTTGTTTCTTGTAAGCCTTTTTTCCTCGTCCGAGTTATGGCTGTTGGGATCATATTCTAGTATATTTTGTACTATGCTAGGAGGAATATCATTATTTTCTACATCATTTCTAATGCGTGGGTCGCTGTTTATTCTAATGGTTTTTCTTATAGCACCAGTTGAAGTGGATTTTTGCGTGACTGGGAGTGTGGACACAGACCCTTGGGAGAGGTTACTCAGTTCGCCCCTCCTTTGGACGTTATCCACTCTGCCAGTTGTTTGTTCAGGGAGATTTATGGGAGGGTTTCTGACTTGGGTCGTAAAGTCTAGATTCCTTTGTACTATATTGGAAGGAAGTGCTAATGTTTTAAACTTCATATGTTGAATATCCTTGGCAGTCTCTGGAATAGTTGTAGGGGTAGTTTCTCCAGGTTCCGGTCTGGGAGTATGTTCTGTGGTGTCCATATTGAGGTCTACACTTGGGACTGAATCGCCCGATCTTTTTAGATCATCTAACAGTTTTTGCATTGATTCATAATGTTCTTTTGGAGCTGTTTGATTATCCTGACTATCCTGGAATTCTAGGGATTCATCCTAGTCCACCGTAGACGGCTTCCTAGTCCCTATTGTTGTGTCTTTTGTACCCTTGTCTGGTGTATTGTCGAGTACTGTGTGGTTTCTATTAGTTTGGGGGTCATCTGAAGGTCGTTCTTCACTATTTAATTAACCTACACTGGGGTAATAAAGTAAAGATAAAATAATAAAATTTTTCACTGCACTTTTACCTATTAGTAATTAAGCTCTGAAAATGGAAAAAGTAAAGGGTAGTTCAAAATTAAACTCGGGAATTATAATCAAAAATATATTTACCAATAAAATAAATTTTTAGGAATATTTTATGGAATAAATCTATTATTTACAATTGGAGAAGAAAATTCTTTAAATAAAAGTTACTTCTAATATTATTCTCTATAATTTTTGTCCCATACAAAATTTTCCTAAAATGGTCCGTATTCGAGAAATTTTAAAAAATGTAATAAATTCAAATTTTAAAAAATATTTTATGAAATATATGTGTTATTTACGCTTGGAGAAGAAAATTCTTTAAATAAAAGTTACTTCTAATATTATTCTCTATATTTTTTGTCCCATACAAAATTTTCCTAAAATGGTCCGTATTCGAGAAATTTTAAAAAATGTAATAATTTCAAATTTTAAAAAATATTTTATGAAATATATGTGTTATTTACGCTTGGAGAAAAAAATTCTTTAAATAAAAGTTACTTCTAATATTATTCTCTATAATTTTTGTCCCATACAAAATTTTCCTAAAATGGTCCGTATTCGAGAAATTTTAAAAAATGTAATAAATTCAAATTTAAAAAAATATTTTATGAAATATATGTGTTATTTACGCTTGGAGAAGAAAATTCTTTAAATAAAAGTTACTTCTAATATTATTTTCTATAATTTTTGTCCCATACGAAATTTTTCTAAAATAGTCCGTATTCGAGAAATTTTACAAAATGTAAAAAATTCAAAATTTTAAGAATATTTTATGGAATAAATCTATTATTTACGCTTGGAGAAGAAAATTCTTTAAATAAAAGTTACTTCTAATATTATTCTCTATAATTTTTATCCCATACAAAATTTTCCTAAAATGGTCCGTATTCGAGAAATTTTAAAAAATGTAATAAATTCAAATTTTAAAAAATATTTTATGAAATATATGTTATTTACGCTTGGAGAAGAAAATTTTTCTAATAAAAATTACTTCTAATATTATTCTCTATAATTTTAGTTGTATACAAAATTTTCTTAAAATGGTCCGTATTCGAGAAATTTTACAAAATGTAAAAAAATTCAAATTTTTAAGAATATTTTATGAAATAAATCTATTATTTACAATTGGAGAAGAAAATTCTTTAAATAAAAGTTACTTCTAATATTATTCTCTATAATTTTAGTTGTATACAAAATTTTCTTAAAATGGTCCGTATTCGAGAAATTTTACAAAATGTAAAAAAAATCAAATTTTTAAGAATATTTTATGGAATAAATCTATTATTTACAATTGGAGAAGAAAATTCTTTAAATAAAAGTTACTTCTAATATTATTCTCTATAATTTTAGTTGTATACAAAATTTTCTTAAAATGGTCCGTATTCGAGAAATTTTACAAAATGTAAAAAAATTCAAATTTTTAAGAATATTTTATGAAATAAATCTATTATTTACAATTGGAGAAGAAAATTCTTTAAATAAAAGTTACTTCTAATATTATTCTCTATAATTTTAGTTGTATACAAAATTTTCTTAAAATGGTCCGTATTCGAGAAATTTTACAAAATGTAAAAAAATTCAAATTTTTAAGAATATTTTATGAAATAAATCTATTATTTACAATTGGAGAAGAAAATTCTTTAAATAAAAGTTACTTCTAATATTATTCTCTATAATTTTAGTTGTATACAAAATTTTCTTAAAATGGTCCGTATTCGAGAAATTTTACAAAATGTAAAAAAATTCAAATTTTTAAGAATATTTTATGAAATAAATCTATTATTTACAATTGGAGAAGAAAATTCTTTAAATAAAAGTTACTTCTAATATTATTCTCTATAATTTTAGTTGTATACAAAATTTTCTTAAAATGGTCCGTATTCGAGAAATTTTACAAAATGTAAAAAAATTCAAATTTTTAAGAATATTTTATGAAATAAATCTATTATTTACAATTGGAGAAGAAAATTCTTTAAATAAAAGTTACTTCTAATATTATTCTCTATAATTTTTGTCCCATACAAAATTTTCCTAAAATGGTCCGTATTCGAGAAATTTTAAAAAATGTAATAAATTCAAATTTTAAAAAATATTTTATGAAATATATGTGTTATTTACGCTTGGAGAAGAAAATTCTTTAAATAAAAGTTACTTCTAATATTATTTTCTATAATTTTTGTCCCATACGAAATTTTTTCTAAAATAGTCCGTATTCGAGAAATTTTACAAAATGTAAAAAATTCAAAATTTTAAGAATATTTTATGGAATAAATCTATTATTTACGCTTGGAGAAGAAAATTCTTTATAAATAAAAGTTACTTCTAATATTATTCTCTATAATTTTTGTCCCATACGAAATTTTTCTAAAATGGTCCGTATTCGAGAAATTTTACAAAATGTAAAAAATTCAAAATTTTAAGAATATTTTATGGAATAAATCTATTATTTACGCTTGGAGAAGAAAATTCTTTAAATAAAAGTTACTTCTAATATTATTCTCTATAATTTTTATCCCATACAAAATTTTCCTAAAATGGTCCGTATTCGAGAAATTTTAAAAAATGTAAAAAAATTCAAATTTTTAAGAATATTTTATGGAATAAATCTATTATTTACGCTTGGAGAAGAAAATTCTTTAAATAAAAGTTACTTCTAATTTTATTCTCTATAATTTTTATCCCATACAAAATTTTCCTAAAATGGTCCGTATTCGAGAAATTTTAAAAAATGTAATAAATTCAAATTTTAAAAAATATTTTATGAAATATATGTTATTTACGCTTGGAGAAGAAAATTTTTCTAATAAAAATTACTTCTAATATTATTCTCTATAATTTTAGTTGTATACAAAATTTTCTTAAAATGGTCCGTATTCGAGAAATTTTACAAAATGTAAAAAAATTCAAATTTTTAAGAATATTTTATGGAATAAATCTATTATTTACAATTGGAGAAGAAAATTCTTTAAATAAAAGTTACTTCTAATATTATTCTCTATAATTTTTGTCCCATACAAAATTTTCCTAAAATGGTCCGTATTCGAGAAATTTTAAAAAATGTAATAAATTCAAATTTTAAAAAATATTTTATGAAATATATGTGTTATTTACGCTTGGAGAAGAAAATTCTTTAAATAAAAGTTACTTCTAATATTATTCTCTATAATTTTTGTCCCATACGAAATTTTTCTAAAATGGTCCGTATTCGAGAAATTTTACAAAATGTAAAAAATTCAAAATTTTAAGAATATTTTATGGAATAAATCTATTATTTACAATTGGAGAAGAAAATTCTTTAAATAAAAGTTACTTCTAATATTATTCTCTATAATTTTTGTCCCATACGAAATTTTTCTAAAATGGTCCGTATTCGAGAAATTTTACAAAATGTAAAAAAATTCAAATTTTTAAGAATATTTTATGGAATAAATCTATTATTTACAATTGGAGAAGAAAATTCTTTAAATAAAAGTTACTTCTAATATTATTCTCTATAATTTTTGTCCCATACAAAATTTTCCTAAAATGGTCCGTATTCGAGAAATTTTAAAAAATGTAATAAATTCAAATTTTAAAAAATATTTTATGAAATATATGTGTTATTTACGCTTGGAGAAGAAAATTCTTTAAATAAAAGTTACTTCTAATATTATTCTCTATAATTTTTGTCCCATACAAAATTTTCCTAAAATGGTTCGTATTCGAGAAATTTTAAAAAATGTAAAAAATTCAAAATTTTAAGAATATTTTATGGAATAAATCTATTATTTACGCTTGGAGAAGAAAATTCTTTAAATAAAAGTTACTTCTAATATTATTCTCTATAATTTTTGTCCCATACAAAATTTTCCTAAAATGGTCCGTATTCGAGAAATTTTAAAAAATGTAATAAATTCAAATTTTAAAAAATATTTTATGAAATATATGTGTTATTTACGCTTGGAGAAGAAAATTCTTTAAATAAAAGTTACTTCTAATATTATTTTCTATAATTTTTGTCCCATACGAAATTTTTCTAAAATAGTCCGTATTCGAGAAATTTTACAAAATGTAAAAAATTCAAAATTTTAAGAATATTTTATGGAATAAATCTATTATTTACGCTTGGAGAAGAAAATTCTTTATAAATAAAAGTTACTTCTAATATTATTCTCTATAATTTTTGTCCCATACGAAATTTTTCTAAAATGGTCCGTATTCGAGAAATTTTACAAAATGTAAAAAATTCAAAATTTTAAGAATATTTTATGGAATAAATCTATTATTTACGCTTGGAGAAGAAAATTCTTTAAATAAAAGTTACTTCTAATATTATTCTCTATAATTTTTATCCCATACAAAATTTTCCTAAAATGGTCCGTATTCGAGAAATTTTAAAAAATGTAAAAAAATTCAAATTTTTAAGAATATTTTATGGAATAAATCTATTATTTACGCTTGGAGAAGAAAATTCTTTAAATAAAAGTTACTTCTAATATTATTCTCTATAATTTTTATCCCATACAAAATTTTCCTAAAATGGTCCGTATTCGAGAAATTTTAAAAAATGTAATAAATTCAAATTTTAAAAAATATTTTATGAAATATATGTGTTATTTACGCTTGGAGAAGAAAATTCTTTAAATAAAAGTTACTTCTAATATTATTCTCTATAATTTTTGTCCCATACAAAATTTTCCTAAAATGGTCCGTATTCGAGAAATTTTAAAAAATGTAATAATTTCAAATTTTAAAAAATATTTTATGAAATATATGTGTTATTTACGCTTGGAGAAAAAAATTCTTTAAATAAAAGTTACTTCTAATATTATTCTCTATAATTTTTGTCCCATACGAAATTTTTCTAAAATGGTCCGTATTCGAGAAATTTTACAAAATGTAAAAAATTCAAAATTTTAAGAATATTTTATGGAATAAATCTATTATTTACGCTTGGAGAAGAAAATTCTTTAAATAAAAGTTACTTCTAATATTATTCTCTATAATTTTTGTCCCATACAAAATTTTCCTAAAATGGTCCGTATTCGAGAAATTTAAAAAAATGTAATAAATTCAAATGTTTAAGAATATTTTATGAAATAAATCTATTATTTACAATTGGAGAAGAAAATTCTTTAAATAAAAGTTACTTCTAATATTATTCTCTATAATTTTGTCCTATACAAAATTTTCCTAAAATGGTCCGTATTCCAGAAATTTTACAAAATGTGCAAAAACTGCTTCATTTCGTTTTTGGAAATTGCTTTTAAATTTCCTTCTTCCTAAACATTCCATCGAGGCTATATTTAGCCATTTGGCTAGCTACTTGTTGTCCGCAGCTTAATTTACACGAGTCAGATAATTTTATAATTGTTTGATAAATTGTAAATTTTCTAAATAATTTTTAGAGTAAATTGTTCAAGAGTTACTACAAAATTATTGCATTTACAGCTTTCGCCTTCTTTTATTTTCGGAATAGTCTTAATTTCATAAAATAAAGATTCGAATTTTATTCGTAAAGCTTTTTTGATTCTGCTTCTTACGGTTTCCAAAGCTTCATCTTTCATGCCTTTCTGCAATTTGTACTTTAGTACTTTTAAAGTATTCAAATAAATAAAGGCCAATCTTGCGTTATATCTATGATAAAAAAAAATTCTTTTATGTCATCAGAAATATTTATTGGTTGCAATTGTACTTTGGACATATCTTTCATTGTATCGATAAATCTATTGCAAATTTTAGTTGTTGTCAGCTACACTTTCATTAGTATTGATAATAATTTCTTATTTAGCATAAAAGGATAACTTTTCAAATAAAATGGTTAGCAATTTCTTTTATTCATTTTTTAGTTCTACAGTATTTTTGTTGAAGGATAATGTGCAAACCAGAAACGCTTTTGGCCTCGTCGATTTGATTTTTCAGTTCTAATATTTTAAGCTTTACTCACTCAATTTCTATTTTTTTTTTTTTCAAAAATCTTAAACACTTTTTAATTTAGAAAATCAAAATTTATTTCTCTTCTATACCTTTATTTTTTTAATTTTCTTTCTGTTTTTTTTTTTTGATTTTGTCAAATTATTTTCTTGTTTTGTACATTTTTGAGCCTCTTGTTCAGTTTCTTTTTTATCAGTAAGGTTTGAATTTTTACAAATTGGGGAACAAATTTATATTATTGTCTGTTGTTTTCGCAGTAGTTTCAGACATTTTGGACTGCTTATTCCTGATGTTTTTTTTTTCTTTGAAACAAATATTTTTAAAAAACATCATCTTTAATTGCACCAACTACACTGTTAAGATGGAATAAACAAAACTTAATACTTAAACAACTTTATATATATATATTTTTAATGTTGTTAAAATTATAATCAATTTTTTTCCAGATTTATATTCAAAGAAGACGCCTCGACGTTACCCATGGCCAGAAAACAAATCTCCAAATTGTTCTGGACTTACAAAATCATCCAAGTGCTGTCTATAATGTGCATGTGGCACTTTTTAACGCTGCGGTACGCCCCCTTGCGGCGTCTCTGGAGCAACGCCCTTCGGCTTCTCGTACATTTAGCAAGAATGCTGCCATTTATATAAAGAAAAGAAAACAAAGTATAACAAATTATGAACTAGTATAAAAATTATTTATGAAGCTGAAAGTTTTTTCGTAAATAGGTCGAAGCTAGACCATGGCCGAATATTGACAGACAAAGCGGTAGAAAAATCATGAATATATATACATACAGGGTGAGTCAAAACTATTTGTTTTTTTTTTTAATGTGTAGGTATATTAGAAAAGGGAACAATTTAAAAATAGTTTCGATTATACAGGGTTCTCCAAGAAAGTAATGTATCTCAAAGTTAGGTTTTTTTAAATGGGACACCCTGTATTTTATTTTATATTTGAATTGCCTTCGCTTTTTCCATTATAACGATGACAAATAGTATGAGATTATACAGGGTATTTCGGAAGTTATAACCAATTTTGTATGTTTAGTGCAAAAGAAATGATTTTTGCGATAAAAGGATTTATGTCGTAAAATTTTGAATTTTCTTTCGAGAAAATGGTTTTCCACCAAATTATCGAATTCGATATATCTAATATACAATATGCTTTAAATTTTATATTTTTACTTTTTGGAACACACTGTACATTGGAAGAGCACATCGCTATCTATTATACAAACCAAAATATACAAATTCACTTTATTCATAATCAAAAAAGTAAAAAATTAAAAAGTCAATAAAGTCAAACAAATTCAAAAAAAGTCAAAAAACTAAAAAGACAAAAAGTCAAACATTCAAATAAAGTCAAAAAGAGTCAAAAGTTAAAAATTTAAAAACGTTAAACAATTTCAAAAAAAGTCAAAAAGTCAAAACAAATTAGAAAAATCATAACAAGTCAAAAAAGTCAAACAAATTCAAAAAGTCAAAGAGTCAAAAGTAAAAATTTAAAAACGTCAAACTATTTCAAAAAAATCAAGTCATAATCAAAAGAGCAAAAAATTAAAATCAATAAAGTCAAACAAATTAAAAAAAAAGTCAAAAAATTAAAAAAACAAAAAGTCAAACATTCAAATAAAGTCAAAAAGAGTCAAAAGTTAAAAAAGTAAAAATTTAAAAACGTCAAAGAATTTCAAAAAAGTCAAAAAATCAAGTAAAGTCAAAAAAGTAAAAAATTAAAGTCAATAAAGTCAAACAAATTCAAAAAAAGTCAAAAAATTAAAAAGACAAAAAGTCAAACGTTCAAATACAGTCAACAAGAGACAAAAGTTAAAAAAGTAAAAATTTAAAAACCTCAAACAATTTCAAAAAAGTCAAAAAAATCAAGTAAAGTCAAAAAAGTCAATAAAATCAAGTAAAGTCAAAAAAGTAAAAAATTAAAGTCAATAAAGTCAAACAAATTCAAAAAAGTCAAAAAATTAAAAAGACAAAAAGTCAAACAAATTCAAAAAAAGTCAAAAAATTAAAAAGACAAAGTCAAACATTCAAAAAAAGTCAAAAAGAGTCAAAAGTTAAAAAAGTAAAATGTTAAAAACGTAAAAAGTTAAAAACGTCAATTTCAAAAAAGTCAAAAATTAAAAAGACAAAAAGTCAAACATTCAAAAAAAGTCAAAAAGAGTCAAAAGTTTAAAAAGTAAAAATTTAAAAACGTCAAACAATTGCAAAAAAGTCAAAAAAATCAAGTAAAGTCAAAAAAGTAAAAAATTAAAGTCAATAAAGTCAAACAAATTCAAAAAAAGACAAAAAAGTCAAACATTCAAATAAAGTCAAAAAATTAAAAAGACAAAAAGTCAAACATTCAAAAAAAGTCAAAAAGAGTCAAAAGTTTAAAAAGTAAAAATTTAAAAACGTCAAACAATTTCAAAAAAGTCAAAAAAATCAAGTAAAGTCAAAAAAGTAAAAAATTAAAGTCAATAAAGTCAAACAAATTCAAAAAAAGACAAAAAGTCAAACATTCAAATAAAGTCAAAAAATTAAAAAGACAAAAAGTCAAACATTCAAAAAAAGTCAAAAAGAGTCAAGTTAAAAAAGTAAAAATTTAAAAACGTCAAACAATTTCAAAAAAGTCAAAAAATCAAGTAAAGTCAAAAAAGTCAATAAAATCAAGTAGTCAAAAAAGTAAAAAATTAAAGTCAATAAAGTCAAACAAATTCAAAAAAGTCAAAAAATTAAAAAGACAAAAAGTCAAATAAAGTCAAAAAGAATCAAAAGTTAAAAAAGTAAAAATTTAAAAACGTCAAACAATTTCAAAAAAGTCAAAAAATCAAGTAAAGTCAAAAAAGTCAAAAAATCAAGTAAAGTCAAAAGAGTAAAAAATTAAAGTCAATAAAGTCAAACAAATTCAAAAAAGTCAAAAAATTAAAAAGAAAAAAGTCAAACGTTCAAAAAAAGTCAAAAAGAGTCAAAAGTTGAAAAAGTGAAAATTTAAAAACGTCAAACAATTTCAAAAAAGTCAAAAAAATCAAGTAAAGTCAAAAAAGTAAAAATTAAAGTCAATAAAGTCAAACAAATTCAAAAAAAAGTCAAAAAATTAAAAAGACAAAAAGTCAAACATTCAAAAAAAGTCAAAAAGAGTCCAAAGTTTAAAAAGTGAAAATTTAAAAACGTAAAATAAATTCAAAAAAGTCAAAACGAATCAAAAAAGTCATAAGTCAAAAAATTAAAAAGTCAAAAAAATAAAAAATATTCAAAAAAGAATTAAAAAAGTCAAAAAATTAAAAAGATAAAAAGTCAAACAAATTCAAAAAACGTCAAAACAAATAAAAAAAGTCAAAGAAAGTCCTCGTCCTACCGAGCATCTAAAAAAAAAGGTCAGCTTGTATATATTTATACAAGCCAGGTCCCTTTCAAAGATATCAAAGAGTAAAACAGGACATACGCCGTAAAAAAGAAAATTTTAAACTTTTCAAAAAAGGACAACTCGAAAAAAATGAAAGAGGTAAAAAAAAAACGCAAAATAGAAGTTGAAAAACGACTTGATATGGGGGGAAAACGATGCAAAATCGTTATAAAGCACTTCAGTGGTGAAACACGATACAACAATAGCAAAGGAAAATAATGAAAAGCCACATAACCATATCAGAATAGGGTTGCCACCTGTTCTTTTTTAAAAAGGACCTGACTTGTACAATAATATACAAGCTGAGCTTTTTTTAAGAAGCTCGGTAGAAGGACGGGGATTTTTTTTGACTTTTTACTTTTTTTTGACTTTTTTGACTTTTTTTGACTTTCTTTGAGTTTCTTTGACTTTTTTGGTTACACATTCGTTGACTTTTTTGCGACGCAAGAGATAGTTTAGAACACATTGCATGGCAGTTTGTTAATAACATATAAAAATACGTTTATTATACAGTGTGTCCCAAAAAAAATTCTGCAAGTCTTTTCATACGAGTTTTTAATGAATATTTTGTCACTTTATGTGAATGTATTCAGTTAACAAAGTGTCATTTTTGATTTCCCTCGAATAAAGGCATTTATTTTTAATTTTATTTAATTGAGTATTCGAATTTAGACAAAACATAAAATTTTATTAAGAAAACTTTTAAAAATGAGTCTCCCTGGATATGCAGCATTGTTATTTCTTAAACGGTAATAGATACAAAATTAGTTAAATTAGATAAAAGTTGCGCAATTTTATGCTCTTTAAAATGGCACCAAGAAACATTCGATATCTACAGGAGGATTCAAAATATCGAACAAAAAATAAAAATTGTCATTTCTTTAATTTTTTGTCATTTCAATTTAAAAAAATTCAAAAATTACTGAATCAAATGAAACTTTAATTAAATTACTTTTAAATAGTAATATAATTTACAGGGTGGTCAATTAAAAAAAAATAGAAAATGTTGTATTCGAGTTTTGACTCACCCTGTACAAATTTGTTTCTATTTGCAAAAAATAAATCATTGGCATAAATTTTGATTAATAAAAAACAATTTATAGCAAAAAAATTGGTTTTCAATTGTTTTTATTGCATTATACGATTTTCATATAAAACTGGTTATAACGTGTAAAATACCCTGTATATTTTCTTACTATTTGGTATTGTTATAATAGAAAAAGCGAGGATAATTGAAATAGTTAGTTTTTTCGGATAATTCGTCGGAAAAGTCGGAAAATTTGAAAAACAATTTTTCTTCGATTTTTCCAAACGAAAAGAAATTTTCCCAAAACAGATAAATCCGTTACCGAAAAATTAATAGAAAACCATTTTCCCAAAAGCAAAATATAAAATATTTCGCCATAATTCGAAAGAAAAAAGTTTTCAATGGAATCGAATTCGGTAATTTGGTGGAAAACTATTTTCCCGTAAGAAAATTTAAAATTTTACGACATAAATCCTTTTACCGCAAAAATAGTTTTTAATTTTTTGACTTTTTTTTGAATATGTTTGACTTTATTGACTTTAATTTTTTACTTTTTTGACTTTACTTGATTTTTGACTTTTTTGAAATTGACGTTTTTAACTTTTTACTTTTTTAACTTTTGACTCTTTTTGACTTTTTTGAATGTTTGACTTTTTGTCTTTTTAATTTTTTGACTTTTTTTGAATTTGTTTGACTTTAATTTTTTACTTTTTTGACTTTATTTGATTTTTTTGACTTTTTTGAAATTGTTTGACGTTTTTAAATTTTTACGTTTTTAACTTTTGACTTTTTGTTTTTTTAATTTTTTTACTTTTTTTACTTTTTTTTTAATTTGTTTGACTTTATTGACTTTAATTTTTTGCTTTTTTGATTATGACTTGATTTTTTTGAAATTGTTTGACGTTTTTAAATTTTTACTTTTGACTCTTTGACTTTTTGTATTTGTTTGACTTTTTTGACTTGTTATGATTTTTTTGATTTGTTTTGACTTTTTGACTTTTTTTGAAATTGTTTGACGTTTTTAAATTTTTACTTTTTTAACTTTTGACTCTTTTTGACTTTATTTGAATGTTTGACTTTTTATCTTTTTAGTTTTTTGACTTTTTTTTTTTGAATTTGTTTGACTTTATTGACTTTTTAATTTTTTACTTTTTTGATTATGAATAAAGTGCATTTGTATATTTTGGTTTGTATAATAGATAGCGATGTGCTCTTCCAATGTACAGT